GAGTTCATTAACCCATAAATTAGACAAAACACGTTGACATAAATTTTATTAGAATATGGTAACCTAAATTTTGTTTGGTCAGGTCCGAGAAGCTCGCTGTGAGACATATGTAGTGAAACTAAAATTATAAAAAAATAAAAAATTAGTAGATATTTGGTGGTACCGGAGGGATGGGGCCGAGAGACCCAATCCATGGACTTGTTTTCCCCCGTGCACACACATACATATATATGATGTATTTTAAGGGTTTTATTGTATTATTCGGTGTAGCCATTAAATACGTTCATCCATTGTACTCATCTTTGATATAATGGATTTCTCCTCCTCTATCCATGATTTTTTTTCCGTCTAGGATTTCAACATAAATTTATATTTTCTTGTAATTATTTTTCTATTGGTATTCTCGCTTTTACGTAACAAATTTGATTATTTTTTAAGTTGACATACGTTCGGACAATCAATCATATTCAAGTTTTGTGATTGTGAGGTTTACCTAGGACCAAGCAATCCGTAAAGGTTCATTTCATCTTATAAGTATTATAGATACAATATGCAAGCCTATTCTAATATTTAAAAGGGGAATTAATATTCAAATTCAATGAATATCGATATCGATACCATTATAATGTGCATTATTATTTAGTAATTTGTAAATTATAGGTGAGATTGAGAACTTGTTTAAATTAATGCAATATGTGAAAAGAAAAAAAAAAACTAGTTATAGTTGCAAATGTTCATCAAACAACCCCTTCCAAAATCATTAAGGGCATACTAGTCAATTTTTTTTTTTTTTTCTTTTTGAACTGATTTTGACGGTTTTTAGGTGGTACTGTTTATAACTCCAACTTTTTTAGTCATGAATTACAATCACTATTCCAAAATTTTTCAACCCATTAAAATGGGTGTCATACACAAACTAAGTAATACTTATGAATTCATTGAAAGATGTGCTTAAGAATAAAGTATAATCATTTATAAATAATTTATTTAATTTTGCCAAACAGATGATAAAGTGAAGAACTGGGACTGAAATTTTTACTTTTTATAAAATGCTGACAGCTGGTGGATTAAAAAAAAAAAAAAGAGGAAGAGGAAGAGGTCAAGAGGGAGCCGTACCAACGGGCCCATAAGGCCGTGAGAGGCCCGTGAAACTCTACAGTACAGCTAAGATTACTTCGAACCTAGACGTTTTTTCCCCAACCATGTTTCCCGCCAACTGTTTTTAACTGGGACCCATCAAATTTGTCCTTAATATATGCACTTTTAGGTAAATTCAAAAACAAGTTTAACTTTTTTTTTTTAATAGTTTGATGCAAATAAATAAATAAATAATTGATTTCGAAGGAGATGCCAAACATTTTTATCGATATGAGTTATTAGGAAAGTTCCAGTATATTATTTTTAGATTAAGAGCTTGTTTGGCAGAGATTTTTTGAGGGAAGAATTGATTTTGAATAGTGATATGATGGGAAATGTGTGGTTGAAAAAGAAGAAAAAATTATTGATTTGATAGAAAATATTATTTTATTGAAGAATGTATGGTTGAAAATGAGAATTGATTAAAAATTGATTTTTGAATAGTGATATGATGGGAAATGTGTGGTTGAAAAAGAAGAAAAAAGTATTGATGTGATGGAAAATATTATTTTATTGAAGAATGTGTGGTTGAAAATGAGAATTGATTTACTGTAGAAAATAAAAATTCCTACCAAACAAGCCCTAACTTTTATTTGTTGGGAGACAATTCTCTTACTCAATATTGTTAGATCACTAAGCCCCTGTTTGGTGATGTTTAATTTAATAAAAATATATGTTTTGAATAATATTTTTTAATTTCAACTAAAATAGATAATAACTAAAATAATTATTTATTTTAAACTTATATACTTTTTTTCTCTGGGAAAGGAAAATATTTTTAGTTCCTATTTGATTTCATTTTTCAAAATTTATTTTTTTCTCAAACTTATTTTCAATCATCAATCTCATGAAATTTATTATTTTTATCAATTTTTCAACTATATATTTTATCAATTTTTGTCAAAATTTACAAAAAAAAAAAATTGATTTTTATCTAAATCAAATATAGCCTTAAAAATAGGAAAAATGAAAACAGCTACTTGGCCCAATTGGTATGTAGCAGGTGGGCCCCTAGTGGTTGTCTCTCGTTTACATCAAACTAGTCCCCAAGTCCCAAGACGGTTGCCATGTCAGCATGTGACTCTAACGTGACATAACGGCAATCTTTGAAATACGTGCAAACTCGCAGTAGATAAAATATGATTGGTCCCACATCATCAGCTTCTGTGGGACCTATGTACAGTACACTATATATTTACCCACAGAAAAATAAAGAAATAAAAAATCCATTGGAAATAAATTGGCCGTTTCATTAGGGCAAAATTTGTATAACTTGTACAATAGTGATAAAACAAGTACAATAATTCTTTCTTCAATAGGTTAGTTATTACCACCTCAATAAAATCGCATCAATTTTGAATTATGTGACTTATAAATCATAATCTTAAATTTTTAGTCTTTTAGCCCGTGTTTGATCGGGACTAAAATTTAAATTACTAATTAAAATCAACAATTAATTTTGATTATATATTTTATGGAATCCACAACTTTTCAACTGTATATTTCGTCAACTTTTATCAAAATATACTAAAAATCAGATTTTAATCTCTATCAGACAAAAACATAATCATGTTTAAAAAAAAAAAAAGGGATGACGTACCAACTAACTAAATTTTAGTCATAACTGTAAATTAAGTTATTAAAACACGGAAATTAATCGACAATAATTCCTTCAAAGATGTCAAATCTTAGCGAACATTGTGTCAAGATGCCTATGTCAGTTAGTTAGTATGCAAATAGCACGAACATTATGTCAAGAAACAAAACGATGAAAACATCACTACTTTTTGTTAAACAATAGGATTATGATGGGAAAATGCATTCCTTTTGTTGGAATTGCAAATTTTCTCAAAACATTGAACAATAATCTAAAATGTCAATATCCTTAAAACTTTACAAGTGGGACATTTTAGTGCCCTTTGAGACATTAAGGGGGATGTATTTTCCCTTTCTCTTAGAAGTTCTCATGGTCCATTTGGCTTCCTACTAACCCTTCTTTGACCATTCAACGTTTCTTCCAAATTTTAATACCAAAGCAAATATAATTTTATTTAGAATAAGATAAGGAAAAACCATAAAGAAAATAATATCCAATTCCCGATTTCAGTCTTACACTTATGAGCTAAATGGAACAAAACTCTTGTATCACAATAACACAATTTTAAATTGAGTAAAACTACTTGTACATCATTGTATACATTCATGTCATTTGTACACCATTATATGCTCAATGATGGAAATGTTCTCCTGTCCACGTTGAGCAGAATAAGACTGCCCATCTGCTGATGTGGTAGGAGAACTCAATGTTGGGTTCTCTCCGAGTAGACATTATGAGCATTCCCACCGTGGACAAGAGAACAGCTTTGTACACAATGATGTATAATTTATTATTATTTTTTTTTTAACTTCTTAATAATAAGTTCATCCACCCTAATAATCTTCACTAAAAAAGAAAATAAATTTATCAGAGAAAATACCAATGAGAAATAAAAAAATATATAGTTCATCAAGGTTTATATGACGGTTTTCCAAGTTTGCGAAGACCTGTGTTTCGGTAAACATGCGCTCGCCAAACACGATTAATCTAAAATTTAATTAATTAAATTCCAATTAAAAGAACACTAAAAAGGATTCCAATTTTGGCTGCTAGCAAGATGATTTTAAAAGAAAATAATAAATAGAAGGGACATGATTGCACATGGGTTCATGGCATAATGTGAATACAAAATCATAAATTCAAACTTTTTTTAGTACATTGAGAAAAATAAAGCATCTTATTTACATATAGGGTCAAGCCAACTAACTTTCTAGAACAAAATGGATTTTAATGAACTTTTTCTCTAGCTTTGCATGTGGAGGGTTTGGATTACTTATACTTTCGAAATTCATGCCATCAAAAAGCATACCACTAGGAATGTCGATGTCCTCCCCAACCTTGTGACAAAACCCTTTAATGATCACATTAATTATGCCAATTAATCTAGTTGAGTTACATCTAATAAGAAGAAAATAAATTTTATTTATTATTTTGTTCAGTCATAAACAGTATTATATAAGAGGCAATAGTTTAAGTATAATGAAACAACCGAATATTGAAATAGTTGAACGTGTTATTCATCATTGACGTTTCATTAATCATACACTTGAGAGCTACAGTGCTAATTTCTTTTCTCCATCTTTTCCTGCTACAAAAACAAGTGAAAAGAGGATTATTTTAAATTGATCGAGAGCACCTCAGTAAAACATGAAGGGAATGCAGAGCTAAGAATATCAATCCAAATTTTTTTTAACTAGTGAAAGTAAGTTGACTCTTCGAGAGTGTATCTCGCTGATGGCTTGGGCCTCCCAAAAAGAGACCTTCGCTATCGAATAAATTTTTCAAAGAAATGATACAGATACACTCTGGACAGCTTGGGTCTCCAAAAGGGAGTCTTCTTCACCTTCTAATAAATTCGTGAAAAGAAAAGATTGACACACTCTGGATGGCTCAGGCGTCCCAAAAGGATGCCTTCTCCGCCTTCTAATAAATTTGTCAAAAGAAAAGACGTAGATAATTTGGTATTGCCATTATATGTGTAGTAAAATCGATGAAATGAAGTAAATATATTTTCCAGATTCTTTATCTTTTTAAAAAATCGCTTTTGCTCAAACTAAAAATTGAGTGAATAGTGGAAGAGCACGCCTTGATCGAGACCTTTTTTTTGGCGTGAGTTGCTTAGCCTCACCAAACCTCAGTTGTAATTATTACCAAAATTAAGGGCGTATTCTTACATCCAACTCTATATAACGCTCATCATTCTCCCATTCAACCCCCTCGTATTGTCATTCAACACTAAACTGAACAAATTCAATTAAAAAAAAACATGTCCGCATGCAGCAAAATCCGCCACATTGTCCGTCTCCGCCAGATGCTAAAGCGGTGGCGCATGAAGGCCGCCGCCGTCTCCTTCCGCACGCCCCCCGACGTCCCGGCCGGACATGTAGCTGTCGCCGTCGGCACCACCTGCAAAAGATTCGTCGTTCGAACTACATACCTAAACCACCCACTATTCAAGAAACTGTTGATCCAGGCCGAAGAGGAATATGGATTCACCAATTCAGGCCCACTGGCCATTCCTTGCGATGAATCACTGTTTGAAGAGATTCTTCGATACTTGGTCCGCACGGAATCGAATCAAAGTAATTCGGCCCGATTCATGAGCTTTGAGGATTTTCAAAGATACTGCCATGTCGGAATCAGAAGCAACATTGAGTTCTGGGCCGAGTCACGGCCGCTTTTATATTCTGATAAGTCTATATGCTAAATGGATTTCAACGGATTGCTCGGATTTTGACTCGGGTTGACTCGACCGATTTAGCTCACTTGCACAGCCTGCATTAGCAAATTCTGACGTTCCCAACATGGGATTGAGATAATTTTTTCCTCTTTTCATCGTTTTCTTGTTTTTCTCATGAGGTGAGCAGTACTGAGCTGCTAAGCTGAATCAATCCTGCCCACGGAGATGGCAAGTAGGTGAGCGAGTTGCCACCGAGTCGTCCCGGGTTCACTCGGAGTGGAGTCTAGGACCAGTAAAGAAGAAAGAGTCAAGAAAAGACGACCTACTATTTTAATTGATCAGTATAACACGTTTCTGCATTATATTATGGAACATAATTCTTTTTGAAATAATTGTATTATAAACAATGGTCACTGATTGGTCTAATGTGCAAGCCTTTGCCAGAGTTATTTGCTCTATTTATATATTTTTTTTCTTGGATTTATTTGGTTCATTTTGATGCAACTATTTCTTCAATTTTATTGGAACTTTAGTAAGGTATAAATTGAGTTAAAAATAAAAATAACGTGATTGACAAGTTTTGCTCATTAACTTGGGATGCGACGCACTTAAACTACTTTTCTCTAATATTTGATGAAACTTACAATCTCTTGAAACCCTCGTGTAATTACAACGATTTTTTTATATTTTGAGATTAACGTATGACATTTGATAGGATCGACAACCTTGTATTTTCTACTGGCACGGTTCGTGCAAAAAGTAATAAAAAGTGAAAGAAACATTCTTTTCTTTCTTACATATTTTGGGTGTTACTTATCAGAATATCTTAATCTATTTAATTTACTTTTTGACCGACTGAACAATTTTTTGAACTAATATGTGTTTTGGCTTGGTAATATTTTTGCCTTACAAGATCGTGTAGGGCAAAAGTAATAGTAAAGTTTAATGACATGATAAGCCTCACATATCTAAATGGATCGAACTTGAGTCGAGCCTCGATTATTTGACCACTCTAGAAGGCTTTCTCGTTCAATTGTTTGTGTTGATGTTTTTGAATTCTGAATTGGGGGCAAAAGGAATGTGTTTTAGTGATGAGTTAGGTGAAAAATGATTCTAGGGACAATAATTAAAGTGGCAATGATATTAATTCTATACAAGCCAAACAAGTAAATCAACATAGAAATCCCATGTACCCACGGAAGATAAATTCGAGACGGATCACGTCCTCAGTCTCTCTAGGACCCTGGGTCTACCACAACCAATGTCTCCTACAAGGTAGATAAAAAAAGATCACATAATTCAGTAAGCAAATGGGAAGGAAATCCCACACGCACATCTACGGGCACTTCCAGCAAAAACCCGAGGTATAAGAAGTCCATGCCTCTTAACGCTTCTCGTGCCGCAATCTTCATGGAAATCAAGGACGTAAAGGAGATCAAATAGCCTCCCCTATATAGCCGAACTCTAACAAAATCACGACCGAAGACTCTACTGCAAATTTCATAAAAGTCATGGCCACAGTCACACGTTTGCTACATCCTCAAGCAAGAGAGTGAAGCCATCATCTAGAGAGATTCCTCAATCATTACGTTAAAATCGACCATCCCCAAGGCCAAGCTTAGGATAAAAACAAAGGCATTGCAGGAAGCATCAACATGATTACCGATGGAATCGTCTCGGGAGATGACTCGGTGAATGCTCGAAAATAATATGCCTGGGGCTTTCTTTGAATCGACCTTATTAGCTTGACCCCCTTCCGAGGACAAGACCTCTCCTTCACTAGCAAAGATCGTGAAGGCATAATAACACCTCACTATGACGCCATGGTCCTTACGACCATCATTGCCAACTTCGAAGGTGAAAGGATTCTAGTGGACAACGAAAGTACAGCCAACTGTAATGGTTGGAGCTCCACTTCAACCAAAACCAACCAATAACCAGCAAATATAACTCAAAAGGCAGAATTCAAACTGTAATTGCTCACATTGAAGAAGATAAACTGAAATACTTCATTGATTGATACCTTCTATTACAATGCAATAGAGAAATATAAAGAGAAGGGGGAGGGGAAATGCAGAAGAACAGAGAGAATGGTGAAGAAGGGGAAGAAGGGAGATTCAAAGAAGAGAATCTAGAATTCAGATTGAGAAGAAGAGGGAAGCAGAGAAGAAGAGACAGAGAAGAAGGGCTGCAAGAAGAGGCAGCAAGGAGGAGACGGGGAGGAAGAGGCTGCAAGCCAATTCGTTCTTCAAATCACGACCCCCCCAATTGCAGAGATACAATCCTATATACAAAAAAAAGGATCCTAAAATTAAAGGGCTTGGGCTAGCCCACAATAATACAAGCCCAAATACATAAAATAAAGGCCCATACCATGACATCCCTTCCCCTTAAATTAACCTTGTCCTCAAGGTTGAAGGTTTGGATGTCTTCTTCGTATGAAGCTAGTTGCCTCATTCTCTTCACCACCCTTGGATTAAGCAAATAGTGCAAGATGGCATATGTCTGGTTAACATTATCTACACCACCCTCAACCAACATTTGTTTAATCAACTTCTCACTTTCTGATTTCTGAATAGAAGGGGATCTATAAGGACTTAGTCTGAAAACATTATCTACACCACCCTCAACCAACATTTGTTTAATCAACTTCTCAGTTTCTGATTTCTGAATAGTAGGGGATCTATAAGGACTTAGTCTGAATGGTTGTTCTCTCTCTTTTAGCAGAATGTGATGGTCATGAGATCTAGGAGGTGGCAACCCTGTTGGGTCTTCAAATACCTCTGTATATTGGCTAATAACCTCAGTTATTTGGCATGGAATTTCTTCTTTCCCCTTCTCCACAATGTTGTACAAATGCCCAGCCGCTCCATAGTTGTACCTTCTAAACGAATTCTCCATCTCCTCCACTTCCATCATTTCAACCCGTGGTTCTGAGCCTTCACTCCTCAAGATGACATCTTCCTGCTCGTGTTTGAACTTCACATATCCTTGGATAAAGTCAAATTTTATAAAGTCAAATTGACTCATCCAGTTCAACCCCAATACCATATCACTACCTCCTAACTTCAGAGTTCTCAATTTATACTGGAATTCCCAATTATGCACCTTCCAAACCAGTGGTTGATTCATAGCCTTACTCTCCAGCTTTTCACCATTAGCTATTCTCATTGTCATCACATTGGCTTCTTCAGTAGTGTAGCTCAACTCCGTAGCTAGTCTCTCATCTATAAAGCTATGTGTGCTTCCACTGTCTATTAAAATAGATATCCTCCTCCCTTTTAAGATTCCAGGAATTCTGATCGTTTTATGCCTTAGATTTCCTGACAAAACATGGACAGAAATCTCCATAAGGCTTGCTATAGGAACCTGCTTTTCAGTCAGCAACTTTCGGTTACCAACCACAATATGTTTTCCATCTATAAAGTGATGACTCTCAACCTGCTGAACATCAACATCTTGTGGTTCACCCTTGCTCTCAATTTCGGCCTTTCCTGGCCCTTCACTTTCATTTTCATCCTCCTGTTGTTCCACCTTAGCGGCTGATTCAGCCTCAATAATTTCAGTATTCTCATCAAATCTCTTACATAACTCTTCACATAAAAGATTCTCCAATCTGCATTAGGATGGCTTGCAATGAATACATAAAACCATATGTAAGCCCTCCCTTCCAAATACATCCTTGCAATTCCTAGCCTAAGTTCATATGAAACTTGGTGTATCTGGAAGTATTCACTAGCCTTCCTAAGCCATTCACGGGGTCCTTTTCCTCTAAAGTGGGGAAACTTAACCTCGGGAAGCTTGGCATTCCCCATATACTGTGGCAAACATTGAGCATATTGACTTAAATTACCACCAGAAGCAGGAACATAAATATCCAGATTTATATCATTCTCAACACCTAAATCAGATTCCAACTTTTCAAAACTACCTTCCACGATAGTTTCTGTCTCAACAACAGGCTTGGTAATTACAACAACTGAATCATCATCTATGCTCAAATCAGATGAACTAACCTGTTTGACTAGGCCCTCTTTTGATGCAGAACCCGAATCGCCCATTTGCACATCCAAAGCCTCGGCCATTTTTGCAGAAGAACTGTAATAGTTGGACTCATCTCTGGAGGCTGATTTAGCTTCAATAAGTTCAGTCAATATTGAAACCATCTGCTCATGAATTCTATTCAAATCTTCCCTAATGATATCCAATCGAGAGACACCCGAGGATTGTAGCTGCTCTGATACCATTTGTAATGGTTGGAGCTCCACTTCAACCAAAACCAACCAATAACCAGCAAATATAACTCAAAAGGCAGAATTCAAACTGTAATTGCTCACATTGAAGAAGATAAACTGAAATACTTCATTGATTGATACCTTCTATTACAATGCAATAGAGAAATATAAAGAGAAGGGGGAGGGGAAATGCAGAAGAACAGAGAGAATGGTGAAGAAGGGGAAGAAGGGAGATTCAAAGAAGAGAATCTAGAATTCAGATTGAGAAGAAGAGGGAAGCAGAGAAGAAGAGACAGAGAAGAAGGGCTGCAAGAAGAGGCAGCAAGGAGGAGACGGGGAGGAAGAGGCTGCAAGCCAATTCGTTCTTCAAATCACGACCCCCCCAATTGCAGAGATACAATCCTATATACAACAAAAAGGATCCTAAAATTAAAGGGCTTGGGCTAGCCCACAATAATACAAGCCCAAATACATAAAATAAAGGCCCATACCATGACACCAACCCACTCTTCTACGACTCCTTTTGCAAGATGAATTTTTTAAGGGATAGGTTGCGATCGGTAAAGACCCTGCTCCATAGGTTTAGAGGGGGATCCATACATCCTGAAGGCACAATAGAATTCTTGATCACCCTCAAGATCGAGCTTTGACAGATGATGACCTAAGCGATAAACATCCCGACTTGTCTACAATGCAATAGTTGATCGACCATCTCTCATTGCCTCATGGGTTATCATCTGTACTCATCACGTGGCCATGAAGTTCCTAACCTCCTAGGGAATAGTTGTAGTC